GACCAGAAGAAGATCCCCATCAAGCGCAGCGACATGCTGAAGCACGTCGTCGGGGACTACCGCGACGTCTTCGCCGAGCTGCTGCGCCTGGCGGCCGAGCGCCTCGAGTACGTGTTCGGGTACCGGCTGGCCGAGCTGGAGCCCAAGAGCCACACGTACATCCTGGTCAACACGCTGGAGCCGGTGGAGGAGGACGCCGAGGTGCGCGGCGACCAGGGCACGCCCACCACCGGCCTGCTCATGACGCTGCTGGGGCTCATCTTCATGAAGGGCAACGCCGTGAAGGAGACCGAGGTCTGGGACTTCCTGCGTCGCCTGGGCGTGCACCCCACGAAGAAGCACCTGATTTTCGGGGACCCGAAGAAACTCATCACCGAAGACTTCGTGCGCCAGCGGTACCTGGACTACCGGCGCATCCCGCACACCGACCCGGTGGACTACGAGTTCCAGTGGGGCCCGCGGACCAGCCTGGAGACCAGCAAGATGAAGGTTCTCAAGTTCGTGGCCAAAGTGCACAACCAAGACCCCAAGGACTGGCCGGCGCAGTACTGCGAGGCCCTGGCGGACGAGGAGGCCAGGTGGAGACGCGCCGCGCGCGGGGGGCGCCGCTCAAGGGGGCGCTTGCACGCGCGGCCTTCCCCTGCGACAAGGCGTTCGGTCCCCGTGTCCCGTTCACGCAAACAGTAGGGGAGGGTTTGTTTCCGTTCGCGTTACTGTCTGTATTGTTTTTGGTGGGAGAGTTTGGCTAGATTTATAAAGCGCATCGGGAAGCTCTGTGTCCCGATCTGGAACAGATATCTAAGCAAACACGTCGGTAAATTGCTTTGTTGCCAAGGAAAGAGCGGAGTGGCTGTCATCTGGCACCTTGACGTCCTTCCCCCGTTCGCGGGGGAGGGGCAGCCCTTACAAAGTCAAAGAAACGCAAGCGCCCGATTCCTTTCTTGCCTTAACACACCCGTTTCACAGTTATGTATTCTCTGTGTGTATAAGCGTTGCGCATCGTTCTGAGCCATGTACATATGTTTGGGGTTTTTTGTTTTTTTTTTTTACATTACTAATATTCGCTCAGCTCTGGCTAACTCTTTTTGCCCACTTGGTTTTCCTTTTTGCTACCGTTAAAATAAATACTGTATCTTTGAAACGGTAATGCATTGCGCATGTTTTAAATCGTCAGCCGTGAGAGATTCATTTCATGACTCAAAAGCAGCATCTTAACAAAAGAGTTTTTGCTATTTATTGATAAATGTTTTGTAGAACTTGCCTTACTTTTCTACGCGCATGCAGATCGGATCGTGATGTACAATATATTTGTTACTGCGGGTCACAAAAGTGATAAAGCTTACTGGTTAACTGTGCCTACTTGGGATTCACACTCCCTGGGTTCAGATCCTTGCTCCAGCTAACTATAAATTTCGACAGGTTGCTTGACTTGCTTCCAGACGTCTCACCTGTAGACTGGGCCGGTGACACCTGTGTGACGTGTGCCGACGCGATGGTCAGATGCCGAAGTGTGTGTGAGGTGCTCCGCCCTCTGCCCGGCCTGGAGGGTTTGTTATTTGTTCCCTAAAATTTGACAGTATTTTCCTACTCTGATTCTTGTGTGGTGTGGTTTTTGAGGTTGACAAACTGAATCATGGCTCATGTCATGTCCCCATGGTGGTTTCGGGGGGTAGCCTTTAAGCTCTCTGAATCTTCTCTATGAAATGGGGGTGATAACTACCGCATCATAATTGGTCATGTTCTAAATGGGCCTGCAGCGGAGACCCCGGGCTCAGCGCTCGTCCACGCCTCTGGCAAGCTGCGGGTCCTGTAGAGGTTCAACAAACAATTACTTAGTGGGTGACTAAGTTTTAGGGGGAGGTACAGCAAGTTAACCATGAAATGAGGTAAGTACTTCGGCTCACAAAAAGGCTTGATCAACACTGTCGTCTAGAAATGTCATCTGGAGGACCCCGGTGGCTGCGAGGTGGCATGGAGGGACGTGACAGGTACTGGGTTTTACTTCTGTTCCGGTGGAATTCACATTTATTTCATCAATGGAGCGTAGCCGGTCCACGTGCGTTTTATGTTAGTGTTTAAAATCGTTCCTGCTAAGCATCCTGCTCGCTGGTCCCCTTGCCCTACTGGCTGCCTCCCCTCTGCTGTGCTCCGATACTGACATCCTCATCCTCACGGTGAAGATGATCACGACTCTGCACCCACACACTCACTATCGGAGGCAGACGCCCTCCCACATTCTCCTCACGGAGATGCTAACGATTCACTGTCCACCGATTACCATTTCGTTTCAGATTTTAAAATCAAAGACATTACAGACTAGATCAAGCCCTTGTGTCTTCTCACTGTTCCCCAGGGGTGTCAAAAGTTGGTGGATATCCTGCTATCGTGTGATTTAATTCTCCTGCACACGTTCATATACGTGGACAACATCGTGGTATTTTGTGAGCTTTTACGGCTTTGATAAGAGGTTTGTAACTTGCTGTTCCGCCATCATTTTTGAGATTGAGCCACGTAGACCTCATTCATTTTAATTGCCTTTTTATGGGAAAAATAAGTATGTGTATCCATTGCCTAGTGGTCAGACAGGTTCTTTGAAAGGTTTTGCCCTGCAGGCAGGCCGCAGCGCTTCCCAGGGCACCTGTCGGAGTTTCTCCAGCCAGGACCAGCAGCCATGGCCGCCAGCATCTCAGAGTCCTTTCCCACCGACCCGCCCTCCCGTTGGTGAAAATTTGGCCTTTCCAGCCATTCTGTGGCTGTGACGTTTTATTGTAGTATAACTTGCACCTCTTGCTTGCCGGTGACATTAAGCATCTTATCTTTCGCTCTTTTTTTGGTCCATTAGGTTTTATATCTGTTAGACCCTTTTGATTTTTATTGATTTGTAAGATTTCTTTATACGTGCCACGTATTCATCCATCGTCTGCTGTATCCAGTGCAGATACCTTCCCACATTTTCACTATTTTTTGCCATTCAGATGATTTGATTTTAATGGGTCCAAATCATCAGTGTTTTCAGAGCTGTGTTTTCTGTAAGTGCTTTAAACAATTCTCCGCAATTGTGATGTCATAAAGATGTTTTCTAGTATTCTAAGTGTTCAAAACTTTGACTTTCGGACTCATGTTTTTTTAATCTGTTTTTGTGTACGATGCGAGGTATGGATATAACTTTTGTATTTTTCCCAGCGCTGATTTTTTTATAGGTTATCCTTTTACATTTTTTAATCTAACCCTTATTACGTAGCAGTATCTCATACATAAAATTCCGGCTAGCGGTTCACCGCGTTATCGGCCGTTCGTCTGGCGTCCTGAGCTCTAGCCCTGTGACATCTTGGCGTGTGTTTCATTTCTAGTCCCCTGCGCTGTTCATTCGAGTCTTTCTCTGCATTGGCTGGAAATGCAGCCCGTGGAAAAGATGCCGTGACAGCCTCAAGGACGCTTCTGACTCCTCGCTCCCGATTTGAAAGGGACTAATTTTAAAGCTCCCCGTGAAGTGCATTTATTTCGCTGTTAGTTCTACCCCCGTAAGTGTCTTGAGCTGGGTCATTGAATTTCCCTCCTGACCCCTCCACCCCCGCCTCTCCGGCACAGTGCCCGGATTTTCCCGCCTGGACCGTTTGAGTGCGTCTGGGTCCCGCGCATCTTTAGCGCCTTCGGGCCGCAGACGGTCCCCTGCCCCGTCCGTGACGTCGCGAGCGGCCGTGCGGGGCACGCGGGCTCGTGGGCCATCCGTCAGCCGCGGCTTGTCCGCTGAGGCTGGAGTTATGCGTCTGGCAGGATGTCACAGAAAGGACGTGTTGTCTTTCTGGATCCCGTGGGTGGCATGGAGTTCCAGTTCGCCCTGTTATTTCGTCACTTTGGTCACTTCGATTAAGGTGGTTTTCTACCTCCTCTCCACTGTGAAGTTTTCCGTTTTTCCTTTTGTAATAAACAAGTAAGCTGTGTGGAGACACACCGAGGCTTTATAAATACTGTATTCTTCACCAATTCTCAATGTATGTGTTTATTTTTATCTGTGTAGTGTCATGGATTATAACCTTTTACTACCATTCATTGCGATACCCAGATTGGCCCCTTAGCCAGCTGGCTTTTGTGTCTTCGACATTCCCCTGTCATTCTCTGGGCTCCCCCTTACTTTCTGGCACAAAAAGATCATTCGGCCTCAGCTTGAGCTCTCCCTGCCCCAGACTGGCGCTCAGCCATCTCTCCGGGGTCCTGCTTCCCTTGGGCGGAGGTTGGGATTCAGAAACAAGGTCGTTCGGTTTGTTCGCACCTTCTACCTGCTGCGTGACACGGTTGGGGAATGTCTGTCTGCTTATCGTCCATCGTCTGTCTGTCTATCATCTACTGAAACCGTGAGATCACGTGCATAGCATTCTAACGCCTTTCTATATTCGTACCATCTTCTGCAACAGTAAGAGATCCAGCCCCCGTTATCCTAATAATATTTATTTTCTCAGCCCCCCTGTAATAAGCAGCCGCCCCCTCCCACATGTTTGCTCCCCACGGGGCAGCTGCCCCATTGGGCACACACCCTCCCCACACACACTCTCACACACACACACACACACACACACACACACACACACCTCGCTGTGTTAGATTCACGGCTTTAGCACTGAATTGCTCGGAAACTAGCAAACATTCTAATTTCATACATGAGTTGGGGAGTTTATCTTTTGCCCTATTAAATAAGAATGAAGCGCTTTCGAAGGTTTAGAAATAACCCGCCCTTGGCAGGCTCTGGGCCAGGGGTGTTTTTGGTGGGCCGTTTTTTAACTACTGATTTTATTTCCTTAACTGTATGTCCGCGTTTTCTCTCTTCAACTCAGTTTTGGTCACTTGTATTTTCTAGAAAGTGTTTTCATCTATTTTCTGATGGATTAAAATGAAGTTCTTAGCATTCTTTCCCTTAAAATCCGTTACATATTCGCTTATATCCACTTTGGCGTTTTGAGTATTTGTTTTGCTTTTTCCTAGAGCTATTTTTGCCCAGAGTTTTTTTAATTTTATTTTATTTTAAAATGTTTATTTAAAAAAATACGAGCGAGATCTCCCTAGCATCCTTCCTCCGAAGGTAACGAGTGAGGTCGTGCTTGTTTCAGGTGTGTGTGTGTGTGTGTGTTTCAGGCGCCACGAACCATAATCTTAAACATTCGAGATGTTTCGATCGCTGGAGTCCCGAGCCAGAGAGACTCGATGCGAGTCGATGCGACTCTGGCAAAGCTCCCTTCCTTCCTGGCGTGGCAAGACATTCCAAGGTCGTCACACGTTGCCCACCCCAGACGGGAGTCAGCCGTGTCCTCAGGAAGCCTGGGTGGGGGTGGGGAGGGAGGTACCTGGGGTAAAAGGGTCAAATACGGGGTGGCAGAAGGAAATCTACCTACGGGAGGCGGACACAGTGTAAATGTGTACATGCCTTACTGTTAAAGTGGACAGCCGAAACTTACTGGATTTCATTAACCAATGTCTCCATAAAAAATATAATTGATATTTAAAACATGGCTTAAAGACGACGAAGGCACAAACACTCCAGGGTTCGTCAGACAGGTCCTCCAGTAAATCTTTTATTTCCGTTTCAAAGTCTTTAATAAGTTTTTACGACACTCCCCACTCTCATGTGCATCTTAAAGATAATTTTTGATCCCCAAAAAAAGTTTGTTTCACGAGAGCCTGAGTTTATTTTGTAAATCCAGCACCATATCTGATTATTTTGAAATCTGGAAAATAAACAAAGAATCTAACATATATCCTGATTTTCCTTTAGCTAACTGTCCCCTAGGGTCACGAAACAGTCGATGGGGAAGGTCTCCTTCTAAATACTGACACCTGGGAGTAAAAAACGAAGAAATCGAGTTAAACTAGCCCTCTTTTGGAAATCCTAATGAATCGATGGGACTAAGCAATCATCAGAAACGGCTGCTAACGTTATAGAAGGAGAGACGTTATTTACCTTCTATGTGACTGAATTTGATTAAACCAGCGGATCTGAATTACAAGAAATTCCCAAATTACAAGAAATGCAGAGGATGGAGATACATTAAGTGATAGGAATTGACGATCAGCAAAGTTTAGTCTGTAGGAAACTATGTGACCTCTGAACTGGTGTTTTCAACAAATTTCAAGAAAGAAAAGAATGGAGGGAAAAACCCGTAAATTAAAAACTTAAGATTCGGAACGAGTTGCAGTTTTTGGAACTGCTGTGTATCCCGTGTAACCTGGTTCAAAGTACGAAATAACGTGAGGCAATTAAGGAAATGTGAATTCTGAATATTTGCTGTTAATTCATTATTATAAAGGCGATGGCAGCATTTGGTTATGCTTTCGAAAGTCTTATTTTAGAGAAATATACACAAACTTTCAAGATGAAGTCGTATGATGTCTGATGTTTGCTGCAAAAATAATCTGGACAGTTGGCTGATTAGTTGCTGACGGTGGGTGGTGAGTACGTGGGGCCTCGTACGCGATCTTCTCTAGTTTTGCACAGGTATGAAATTTTTCCATAAAAAAAAAAAAAATTTAAAGGCATTCTAACAAATAAACTTCCTTCACTCGATTTTCTTTAGTAATTTATAACTTGTTTTTCAGGCTACGTAAAACTATTTTGAGACTGTATGATGTACAGCATTTTCAAGTTTAGCTTCTAAAATATTTTATAATGTATTTCAAATAAATTCGCGGGCGCTGGGGGTGGCTCTTCAGAGACTTCGCCTTTTCTCTTTGATTCGAGGAAATATGAATTCGATATTTCAAGAAATAACAATTCCCCTTAAAAGACATAAATGTCACTCGTGTAATCATTTGATCAACTGAAAGCGTTTTTTGCAGCCAAACCATTTTCCCTTCGAGCTTCTCCGAGTAATCACGTCCGTTGTTTGGGTCGTTCGCAGATAACCTTCTTCATGCTGCTCTCTGCGGTGTGTGTGATGCTGACCTTGGCTGGTTCCATCCTTTCCTGTCAGAATGCTCAGCTAGTGAACTCTCTGGAAGGCTGCCAGCTGGTGAGTGATGACAACGCAAAGCTTTAGGTAAAGGTCATAGGCTTCGATTCTGCATGAAAGTAATTTAAAAACTAATTTTATGGTATCCTTGGATGTATTCTCATGGTTTATACTTGCTGAGGGAATTAGAGTTGGTTCATTTCTAAGAATTCTAAAAATGAACCCCCTGTGCTGCTTGTGAACCAGGGACTGACAGTCTCTGTCTAAGGGTCACAGTGTAGAGTTGTCTTACCGTGAATGTCTTTAGTAACGATTATACTTCAGCGTTCGTCGTATTGATTTTTCTCTGCACGGAATTTTTAAAAATCGATTTTGTAAAGTCGACGTCCAGTGCCAAGATACCCATAAGGTTGCTGGCGAATGCATCGAAACCATTTCGTTCCGCTTTTGCAACTTGAAAAGAGGATTAGGCTTTAGATCTAGGCCAGTGGGAGCCGGGGTGCTGGGACCTCGCGGGGGATCAGTCGATGCCTCGCCGGGTGGGACCATTGCTCCACAGTGTGACTTAGGCCCTGGTGCGGTCGTACGCGCACGTGGCCGGAGCAGAAGTCCAAGCATCGGGTCGCGTTCAGTTGGACTCCGGATGGGTCCCTGGCTGTGGGTGTGGGGACGCTGGCTTTCGTCCCTTGATCTTGGAGACGGGGCAGAGCCACCTTTTAGAACCCGCTTCACAGCCACCTGAGAGGTCGGGGGCTGTGCGGAATTTAGCCAGAGCTGCTCGGTGGCAGAGCCACAGCTGTATTTCTCATGGCCGTGCTATTCGGGTCCAAAGGGACATCTGCTGCCCTGGACGTTCCTCATCTACCAAGGCCCACGGGTCTCGTGGAAGTTGGCACCGTTTCGGTGCCGAGACACCTCCCGAGTCCCAAAAACCGACCGGGAGAGACCTTCCTCCCGTTCGGTGTGGCCAGACCCTGCTGAGCAGACTTCCTCCCAAGATGCTCACAGGATCCTCCCTGCCGGGCAGCGTTCCCATGGCGACGAGAATGCACGCAACCTGGAGCCACCTCCATCGCAAAGGGCGCCTTGCCAGCTCATGTGCAGAACTCGGCCAGCTTCTCGATTCCAAACGCACGTCGCCGTGAATGGAAAATCGGGGGGACTGGCCGTGTCCCTCCGACCTCCGATTTCCGATGCGAGGCCCCGTGTGTGGGAGACTGAGAGACTGGGGTGACGAGAAGCGACAGGTCCAGACCCAAAAGAAAGCCGGGCGCCCGTCCTGACGGCCCGGGTCCCCTCGGCCTTCATCCCAGACCCCGTTCCCCTCTGTTATGTGCGGTTACGAAAGGGTAGGGAAGAAGCCATTTGTGTGTAAATATAAATACAAGTAAACACAGATGCGATTTCATATTTCTGTATAATATATTTATACATATAGAACCTCTGTTTCTCTTTCTTCTTCTTCCGTGAATGGACCGGAAGCTTTACCCATTTTTAGATTTAACCGCCTTATTGATTTGTAAGGACGCTTTATATATTATAGTTTTGAGTCCTGCGACTTCTGCTGGTCAAATGTATTTCCTAGATTGTTATTCGCCCTTTAATTTTATTTTTCGACATAGGAAAAAACTTAATGTTTGTGGATTCAAATCTATGAGTGTTTTCCTTTGTGGTCCGACTTCGGACCCAATAAAAAGACCCTCTCCTTCCCCGAATCACGTGACCCCGAGGATTTTCTCTGGCTATGGATACATTTTTGTCATTCACTCTATTTTTTTTTTTTTTTATTATTCACTCTGTCATATTCTGGAATTTATTGGATGGCTTTAACTTTTTTTTCCCCAGCGGGTAGCTAAAACTGTTTCCTGAGTAACCCCGTATTCCCCTGTGGATTCGAAGCGCCACCTGAGTCACTGAGTGTCACGGCATTTAGTGGAAGGGTGTCGGGGTCTGCAGAATATCCAGGGCCTGGAGACTTAGCTTGGAAACTGACTGGTTCCAGAGAAGCTTCTCCGGGTACGAGGCCCGACCCGGGGAGGTGTCCCGCGGTGGGAACCCTGAACTCACCAGCGTACAGATTGTGGCAGCGGTCCCCAACCTTTGTGGCACCAGGGACCGGTGCTCCCATGAGAATCTAATGCCTGATGACCTGAGGCGGGGCTGAGGCGGTGATGCCAGCGCTGGGGAGAAGCTGCACATGCCGACGAAGCTTTGTCTACTCACCCGTCGCTCACCCCCTGCTCTGCGGCCCGGGGGCGGAGCTGAGGCGGTGATGCCAGCGCTGGGGAGCAGCTGCACATGCAGACGAAGCTTTGTCTACTCACCCGCCGCTCACCCCCTGCTCTGCGGCCCGGCTCCTCACAGCAGGAACTGGGGGAGGAGGGGGACCCCAGGTTTGTGGGACTGAACAATTTCAGCGGTTCTTAATCTCCTTGTCCGTTTACTGTAGTCAGAATCCAGGGAGGAAGCATTTTGATCGGCCGGGGCAAGGAAGAATCTGCTTAACTGTCCCACCACTGGGAACCGAGAGGTAATTCCCCAGACAAAGTCAGGAGCCGATGGAAGGTCGGAGGCGATGGGGAGGCAGGAGGCATGCTGGGTACTCAGGAAACAGCTGGTACCTAGCAGCATCATGTGTGTGTGCACACGCGCACACACGCTCACCGATACCTACGTCTCTTTGTCTGTTTTGGGACTTTTCATTCTGTCCCAGTCCCTTGTCAATTTATTCACATCCCAGAAGGCCGACGCTTAAATCACCGTAACTCTAGGGGCTATTTTAATAACTGGTAGGGCAAGGCCTTCCCCCACCCCCGCCAGACTCGAATCAACCTCTTAAAAGATACATATACGTTCTCGCCTGTGCTTAAAAGTCTGGTCTTGCAGATGCATTCTGAAAAATTTTTTTTTTGTCCAGACTTAAAAGTAATCTATTCGAGATGTGAATCGGAATCACATTAAAATTGTAGATCGCCTGGGGGAAGGACAGACACATTAACGATCACTTTGTCTCACTCAGCAGCATCGTGCGCACTGTGGTTTATGCAGACTGTTTTTAGAAATTCTTTGATACGGCTTTTGTTTATTCTCAGTATGTTTCTGCATCTGCGCATCTTTTTCATCTGCATAATTGAAAAGTAACTCATGCATTCTGCATGGCTGTGTGAAGTGAATCCCTTTTCTATTCAGGCTCCTGGCACCCCCTTCCGGAAAGGTTTTGGTAGCCGGACGTTCTTCTGTGCCTATTTGTGTGTATTATTTTGACACACGTGGGAGCCCATTCTACATCCCAGTATCCCAGGCTTCTGTGCTTGTGCAGCACAGCCATGTACTTGGTGACGTTTGCAGGTCAGCACTTGGGGACCTTCCCAGCTGTTAGAGAGCAGTAGATAATTCCACTGGATGGATGGACGGACGGACGGACGGACGGATGGACGGGTGGATGGACGGACGGATGACAGATCAGATGGATGATGGACGGGTGGATGGACGGATGGGGTGGGTGGATGGGTG